ATCGACATATTATTACGTAGAGGACCGCATCGGAGACACTCCCTAAACGGTCGTCGCTTAGAGATGGCGGGCGATCATGAAATGAGTCAGCGGGAGCTATGACCATCGGTTATGTATCCCCCTAGAGTTGGGATCTTCGTTGATCCACCGATCGTTTCGGAATAGGAAGGAGGTTATTCCATACTAGTTGGCAGGATTGTATATTGTATTCTACCTACGGAGTAGTTATGTTGTAGATATACTTACAATATACGGAGTAGTACAGAGTATATTTCTATGCTGTATATATGCAATGATTGCAGATTGATATTATCCAGTTGGAAATGAATATAAAGGTGAAAAGTGTGTCATTCGACACGTTCGGATTATGATTCAATAATCCAATACCTGCATAAATAGCATATAATATGTACTCCGTGCACTACTGCAGTCTTCGTCGCGGGAAGATCCCATGCGGATATCCTAGTGATCGGACGCAGACAGGTGCATCGGACTGAATGCCAGATTAGGGCTTGTTGCCACGTGAAATGGAGAAATGGAGAAAAGAAAAAAAGGAAAAAGGAAAAAAAGGTATTGTATGCGTGGCACTTGCATTGCCAAGGCGCGTCCACCGTCCAATAGAGGCACCTTCCCAAGTAGTACAAGCGTGAGATCGGATCTACCAATCCCAGATCGGCGTGTAACAGGCTTGGCGGTTTAGAATTTCTAGTGACCTCGGCATCCAAGGGGCATACGTTCGAAAGAAGATTGAAACCACTTTCTTAAACTTTGAGAACTCCGTCAAGGTTGACGCTTGGAGGGATTTAATTTTAATTATAGTTTTGGATTTCCCTTGATGAAACACAACACGATGTGATATGTGATACAGCAGACATAAAGGCGCATGGATATGCAAGTGCCATGTGTCAACCCTTTCGCAAGGCAACCAGTACCTTGTAGTGGACGAATTGAACGTATAACTCGTGAAGAGCATGTATACAATATATCACATCTGCAAAGATCCCAGTTCCTCGCGTGGACATGTTCAGCCCCACTGATTTGCGACCATTAACTCGACCCGGACAAGCCTGTGTGTCCCGAAAGAAAGGGGTGAGACAGTCGCGTGGCATGGGCCCAGTGCCCCGGGATCAAGAAACGATCAGCGATCACGGCTGAATCCGCTACCTACCCGGGTCTATGACCTAAAGAGGATAGCTCGATCACCCTCAACATGATATCCCTCGGTGAGATTGACCAGACTATCGATTGTTGGAAAAATAGAATGTGCACGGAGTCGTGATAAATATAGTAGAATATAGCACTCCCCACGGAGTAGAGGCATTAGAAGAGGGGGAAAAATAACCCAATTGACAAAACCAAACGTAAGCGCAAAGCGTAAAATCGCTCCCATGGGACTTGAGCGGATCACACTTTTCCCGGTTTCATGACCAAAAAGAAAAAGCACCAAAAGCAAAAAAAGCCGTCGGCGCGTCAAGTTTCTCAGAAGGAGGAGCTCTAGAAGTGTATTCCCTATACTTATATATGGCACTGCTCCCAACTATGATTTACATGACTTTTTGACAGCTGAATATGAAAGGTCAAATATCCATTTACCCTGAGCCGAACCAAGGGTGGCCCAATCAATGCCCGCGGAATACAAAGACCGGCGCCAGGCTCATTTGAGAATAGGCGATCCGTACCAAGTGCCGACAAGGGGGTTGATCATCCGTAGGCCCGGGACGATCCTAACGCTCGAGCCATTCTAGAATAGTACATAATCAATAAATAGATACATATATAAGTATGCTATTGCCTAAGTGGATTGCCAAGTGAGATACGGAATGTAGAAGGAAAGGATGAATAAGAATGGACACACGTATGTATAATCTATATTCCCTACTTTATTTTGTACAGTCTGTATTGTAATGGATATTTATGTACCTCGGTCACCGGCGATCTTTCTCTTGTAAAAGGCTAAATAGTGGAGGTCGCTTCCACGAGGCCGGGACGAATCCACCCCCTAACGGCCAATCCTCAATCGCTCCTATGCAGAAACCGTGCACGGCTAGAAATGATCACAGGTAACATGGTAATAGGAGTAATGTTCCAGAACGCCGATCGTGTCAATAACTCGTTTTCGCTGGTAGCCATGGTTCAGTTCCATGGCTTCGAGGAATGATCTTCAGGAGCATGGTCGACTCTAGGCCTTATCACGAGTATTCCCGTCTGAGCTCTTCGATTGCCGATGTGATCTTTCCATTCTCGATTCTCCAACCATATATCCATTATTAGACTAAGACTAGAGAGTGAATTACCAACTGGGTTATTGTAACTATAACTATGTATCATGCACCAGAGTGGGAAGGAAACAAGTTTTCTCATATACATACATACTTCAATGTATGTACTCCGCTCACTGTGCCTGTAAGGTTTGTGTAAGCGAGCCCAGGGCCATGGATTGTGCAACTGTTTCAGGCATTCCTCTTTCTCGCCCCCCAGCGCTTAGAGCCGCCCTTGGTGATCACACAGCTGAGATGGTAATTAATATATTAAATTAAATCCACAGTACTCCGTACCGGTACGCCGGGCATAGTCAATCCATGGATATCATGTATGGAGTAGCCTGACCAGCGTATAAGCAGCGAAGGCGTAACTATGATTCCAAGGTTCCGGAGATGTGGCCCAAAATGGACTAGTGCTATCCCTCTGTGACCTTCCCTTTTCGCTTGCGCCGTTTTTCTCCATAGCCACGCGAGAAAATGATCTCCTGAACCGTGTCCTCCCCGGGTTTGGCACCTATCTTATGATTTATTATCCCAGTTCAAAGATCAAAACACTGAGAATGGCTATTATCAATGTCTACTCTGTATACAACCGTTCATCGCTCTCGCAGATCAACAGATCCCTGATCGATCAGCCGTTTATGGGGTGGCTTGGGATGTGTGACAGGTCGAGCAGGATCTGCACTAACCGAAGCCGAGGTGCAATCCTCCAACGGGGTCTTTACGGCCTCCCAATTTGGGTTTAGGGCGCTGCACATCCCACAAGGCTGGAAGGTTAGGGGTTCTGCCTTCGCGTGGGTGGATCGTCATTCCCCCCACGTTAATCTCCGAAAAGAATTATTTTTAATTGTTTATCTCGCTTAAATGAATTTTAAATGCCTTTTATTAAACTTACTCCATAATGAAGAAATAAAATCAATTAAATTAAGCTTTGGAGCAGACCACATCGAAAAAGAATTAATAAAGGGAAATACAATTATGAAAATCCCAGAATTAAAAAGAATTAAAAAATGCCGTAACGTAAATCGGAATTTTGCCTGAGTCGGCATCGTCCGCTGGCGATCATCTTAAGCCGTCCGCCTGCTTTCTGGTATAAACCTCGTGGGATCCCCCACTCACTGAATAAAGCCGACCTTGAAACGCAGCCGGATCAAACTTCTCAAACAAGTCTTCTTCATCATGGATCTCGCCAACCTCCTCTCCCACAGCACGGCCGTCAAGCCGATCTATACTCCTCTCGAGTCTAGCTACTATAAGCGCTCGCCGCCAATGTCGCCACCGGCCGAAGAGCCTAAGGTCTCATTGCCTTCAATCTCATCTCTCTTTGAGGGTGCTGATGGTGCTCAGCACGCAGCTAGTGAGTACTTTCAACCATACTACAATTTTAAAGTACAGCCGCTAACCATATACCTTCCAGAGCGCCAGCGTCTCTCACCATCTCTCGGTGACCGTCACGTCCGGGTCCAGTCATATGAGCTGCCCCCAACACCACCTCTGCGCCCCGGCTCTGGTCAAGCTCACCGTCGCGCATCTCCTATAGAGTCGCTCTCTCACAAGGAAGCGTACCACCATCACCTACACCGTTCCTCTATCTCTAGCAACGGCTCAATCCACATCCCGCGCAACACAGCACCTTACGCCTCGCCAGCGCCAAGCGTCTCATCGTACACATCTCCAATCGACGCTCCTCAACAGCCAATGTACTACCCCCGCCCGCCAACCACATCCTCTTTCCAGCCCTCGACGCCAGTATCAGCCCCCCAGATGCCCACTGTCCAGACGCAGCACTCGCACTCGCACTCGCACTCGTCTTCGGCTCTCATCTCCCCCATCACCCCGGCTTGGCAACACCACCACTACTTCCCGCCCTCCACCTCAGCCCCGTACCAGCAGAACCACGACCGGTATATCTGCCGTACCTGCCACAAGGCTTTCTCGCGCCCTTCTTCCCTGCGCATTCACTCCCACTCTCACACTGGCGAGAAGCCCTTCCGCTGCACACACGCCGGCTGCGGTAAGGCTTTCTCTGTCCGCAGCAATATGAAGCGCCACGAGCGTGGCTGCCACTCTGGTCGCCCGGGCCCTGCTCCTGCCCCTACTGCGCTTGTTGTATAAGTGGTTGTGGATTTGCTCTCTGTATTCTTCTGATTCTTTGTCATGTTTACTTTTTTTGGAGGGTGTTTTTTCTTTTGTTAGGTGGGGATTTCTTTTGTTTGGCGTTGCGAGTGATGCCGTGATACCCTGGATCTTGGTTTTGATTCTATTTATCGGATTCCCATTTGGTTTAGATGGGTCGGTTCTACACTATATAAACTTACGATTCTCAATGTATATTCTATGATCAAGACTACTTCTCTTTCCCTATTTTCTCTCTTATATTCTCTCCTGTAGCTGCTTTCATAGCATAGAATTGTTCTTTGTTAACCACAAATCGATGGTCCATCAACTGCGTCTTACCGCCCCCATACCTTTCTAGGTATGACAATGGTGGGATAGTAAGACGGCTACTACTCAAATCAGGAAGGATGGCTGAGCCTCACAATTCCAAGGTAATTGTAAACTTATAAATGGTCATTCTTGTCTATCTATGCCCTATATATCATCAAATCATTACCAGCATAACCTTATAATCCCAAATAACCAAAGAAAGAGCAGAATATATCTGACCAACATCCAACTTTCCATCAACCCAAATGAGAATAGAACATAAAAACCCATGGATACTAGAATCCTCAAGCTCTACTCATCCAAAACTCCCCTCACCAACGCAGCAAGACTAGTCTCATACCGAGCAGGATTATGATCACTCAACATGCCACCAGCAAAGCGCAACTCACCAAACCAAGTATCAACATCTCGAATAAACCGAATCTGCACGCGAGTCGCAGGCCTCCCAAGACGCGGATACCCATCGACGCCGAGCTCCGGCGCCGTAAACGCATCCCGCTGCAGAACTCGCATCGTCTCAACGACAAAAACCTCACCGGGCGGCATGAGTTTCGGCGCACGCATCTCATCCCGGAGTAGTTTTAGCGTTTTCCAAGCCCAGGCGTCTTCACCCACGCCATCGCCCGCGTTGACGACCAGCGGAGGCTGGTTGACGTAGAATTTGTGTATGATGCTTTGGCGGAGGGAATCGCTGACCCGTTGGCGGATGTGCGCTTTGGCGCCTGTGGCATCGTCTTTGAAGGATAGTGACGCTGTGTGCATGTCGTGCAGGATGCCTAGCGACAGGCTGGGGACTATGTCGGAGCCATTGACGATTGTTGTTATTAGGCCTCGCGTGGCAAGCCGGAGGAAGGGGGACATCACGGCTGGGGGACCATAGGCATAGACATGGATTGGCCGGTTTGCTGGGATGGTGTAGGTTGGTAGGCTGGGGTTCGGGATGCTGGGATTGCTATCGGCGGTCAAGAGGCGGGGACGGGCAGCGGGTTGGTATGAGGCTGTTACGAAGGATGTGCCTGTTGTGGAGGGGTTGGGTTCTGAAATCATCGTTGCGAGAAGGGCTGCAACTCCTCCACCGAGCGAGTGCCCGCATAGAACTATACCGTAATCTTGGAATTCTTCTAGTGCCGCACGGAGGGTGATCATGACTCGGCCACCGCCACCCTCTAGGAGCCGCTTGGCTGAGCTGTGCATGCCTTTATGCACCTTCCAGCTTTTGCCCTGCCATTCGAGGTCATCGTAATCGCAGGTCATGTCTGTGAGGATGTCCTCGAAGCCCCATGTTCCTCGTAAAGTCAGAACCACGGCTTTGGAGTCATGGTCGATAGAAAGATAGTGGACCAATGGAAAGCCTGTCTCTGTCTCACCAGCTGCATTCGAGCCACCGGCTGGATCGACGAATGAAGATAGGAGGATCGTAGAGGGTGGAAGGCCTGCATTCTCTGAGAATGCACTATGCTCGTGGCTGTCTGACTTGGTACTAGGTATATTCTTCGAGCCACTAGGAACACCCATGACCGTGAGCGCATTCGAGCCATATGAGGCAGAGGAGAACCGGGAGAACCGGCGAATGTTTTGCACGAAGTGTCTCTCTGGAAATATACCTGGAACAAAGCCATCGCGATTGAGTGCCTGTATGGTTTTCATGTCTTCATATGCACTTTTGCGAGGCCGGTGCGCAAGCAGCAGTGACGTCTCAGACCCTGCAGTCGCTAGGGAGTACAGGCTGGGGGTGTATGATTGGGATCTGCGGTGCATAGCTGACGATCCGGGGCGGTTATCATTCGCAGATAAAGTCCCGTCTGCTTCTGATCTTGTTATGGACATAGAGCTGCTGCTGCGAACGTGAGTCTGGACCGCGGCAGGCGATCCAGAACGCATACCGGCACTACGGCGTGAAAGAAATGTGTCGGTTTGAGTGAGGAGCGACTCGTGGCTGTTCTCTCGCACCGTAAAATGGCCCCCTCGTGAGCCTCCAGAGGCGTGCATTTCGTGAGATAGGGCGTGTTTCGTTGGCGACTCTGACGATTGTCTTTGGGGGGAGTTTGGGAAGGGCGACCTTCGTAAACCCCGGTTCGGGACAGGGGTTGTCGGTCGATAGTTCAGAGGTTCAGTTTGTCTCTTCTTGAGATCAGGTCTGCTAGAGACCTCTCGCGCCGTCGCTTCCTTCACAGACGCTGTTCCTTTTGCAGGCTTGGGAGGTAGACGAAGACTTGGAATCCCCGAGGGCGCAGATGAGTCTATAGATGGCTTCTTTCCCTGTGGCCGTTTGGCCTCATTTTTTTCAAGAACAGCTGGCTTAACCTTTTGTGCAAATTTCGCGAATGAGCCTTTGGTAAGTGCAGACTTGGGATGTTCATTCGGCAAGGCGGGAGTTGTCCCACGCGGCTTGGGGGCAATGCTCTGCGTGGTATCCAGATGGGAACGTGACGGACCATGATGAGACTTCATTGGACTATTGGTCAATGAGCTTCCCGGCAATGCTCGTTTATGATGATCAGACTCAGGTAGGGCAAAATTTCCAGAGCCGTCGTGGGATCGCAGTTGAGTGCTCTGGGATTTGTTGAAGGCTGTCCTAAACACCACTGTATGCTTGGGACACCGTCGCTGACAATCGGACGTATTGGTATCCTCATAATCATGATCATGGTGGAATCTCTCCTCTATCAGTTTCGTTCCAGGCGGGGCGGCGATCTCTGCCATATTATCATCGTAGATATCGACTGTGATAGTTCGCGCCGTCAGAGTTTCCGACTTGATAGATGCGTGACAGCCCTGAGGAAGTTGGCTCATAATATAAGCGCGGATATCCTCGTCGGACACTTGCTGCTGGCCACCCAACGGAATAGAGAGACGATGTCCAACCGAATCAGACACGCTCGACCGTCGAATTACATCAAATGCTTTCTCGCCATTTCCAGGCATCACAAAGGAAGCACTGTCAGGCTCTACCAGCTCTTCATTATTGCGCTCGGGGAATTGCAGCTGATGGGATCCGATCACGTCTGCTCGTGCGCCGTTGTCTAGGATGACAACATCCCAAACAATTTCATCCCCGTCATTCTGCCGCAGATGTCTTTCTGTATTCTTCCTGCCCCAACGCTGCAATAGTGCGAAGCCTAGGGAGCCAATGAGGAGGTCTCCGACACCAATATTCTCGGTAGTACTTGGGCCGGGCTCGACGGATCTAAACTCACGCCGAATCAGCGTGATAATAGCCGCAATGGCCCTCGAAGACTCGGTGGACCCAAGAATGGCATCCAGAGTAGACAGAAGTGCCTGTGAGAGATTTGCAACCGAAGACAAGGTGGTGGACGAGAAATGAAATGTCGCTGCCGCGAAGAAAGATGCCGAGGTCACGGTCGTGTGGAGCGTCGCCAACTAGGAGGGTGTTAGTCAAGACTAAGTCGACAGCCTTGGAAGATTTAGGAACATACACTTCGCTCGAGGAGAGACTCGGCTTCTGTCCTACCGTGTTCATCGCCACTACGAATGGCGACATCTCTTCCTGCCCTCGTCAAGATCCCCTCGACCAAAGCCCGGCTTAGTTCTAAGCTGGTCAAAGTCGTAGCTCGCGCGCCATCCAGGGCTACCCCGCCAAAGAATGTGCCTAATCGCAACGATAGCGAGGTTGATTGTGTAATCAAAGATATCAACGACGCGACTGGTCGCGGGAGCAGAGTTGATCCTGAGGCTGGAATGTGAGCGTGCGCATAGTCGAGGTTCGTCTCGATATCAGGTTTTCCCCGGTCATTGGATTTTGTAAACATATCAAGAATGAGAATATTCAAGCCATGGAAATTTTACATTTACAGTGGCCTTTCAAGGCTGTCCGTGTAGGCGTAAGCCAGTTGGTACCCCAACAATCGAGATTCGAGGATGGGCCCTTCACATGTGATCGACGTCCAAGATTTCTAGACACGTTCCAGGTCTGATTCCCTCTACATCATCGCTTTCACTCCTCCGTATTGCACCTTACTCCGGTCGCAATCTTCCACCCTCCGAATACCCGATAGGCCCATGTTCTGCCACAAATCAGCCAAAAGACCCTTGAGCACCTGTCTAGCCCCGTCTCGGCCCTGAATGCTCAGTCCGTAAATCACCGGTCGACCAACGAGAACTGCTTTGGCTCCTAAGCACAGTGCCTTAATCACATCCGAACCTGTCCGAATCCCAGAGTCGAAAAGTACCGTCATCTTGTCCCCGACTGCATCGACTATCTCTGGAAGAACGTCCAGAGACCCGATAGCACCATCCACTTGACGGCCTGGACAAAAATTCAAAGGAAGGACATGAAAAAAGCTAATCAAGGGACTTACCACCATGATTCGATACTACAATGCTATCACACTCATATTTCAGCGCTAGTTTCGCATCCTCCACGTGCTGAATTCCCTTCAACACAATCGGTCCATCCCAATTCTTCCGCAAGAAAGCCAAATCCTCCCACGAATGCGGACTCCCAGCGAAAATATCACCGATCCACGCGCGCGAAGCACCAATGATATCCTCTTCAACCTTCGATCCAGTTTCTTTCTCGAACTTTGCGCGGAAAACAGGATCGCTGAACCCAACCTGGTTCCCCACCCCCTTGATAAAGGGCACATAGGCGTTATCCAAATCCGCCGGTCGCCACGCCAGCGACCAGGTATCCAAGGTAACCACAAGAACCGAGAACCCGTTCTCCTTCGCCCGCTTTAGCAGCGACAGCGTAATATTATTATCCTTCGGCCAGTACAGCTGATACCATCGCTTCCCGTCCTTGTTGGCGGTCGCAACATCTTCAATCGAGCTCGTGCTCGCCGTGCTCATCGTATATGGCACTCCGACTTCCTCGCATACTTCTGCAAGGCCTGTCTCCTTGTCTTCGTGGAAAATACCTTGTACGCCGACCGGTGCTACAATAATGGGATTATCGTATTTCTTACCGAAGAGCTCGACCGAGACGTCTTGCTCCGGTGTCTGGGTATGTCATCCGTTAGCGAGAATGTAGTAGTAGTTTATTGTAGATTGCCGCAACTCACATTTCGCATCATCCGTGGGATTCTATCGATCTCATCCGTTAGTGTTCTAATACTGTAATAAACATCTACAAACCTACAGCTTCCACTGCCGGAATGCCAGCCGGTTGCTGTCCATCGTCGCTTTCTCGCCTGCGCCGCCAGCGACATAATTGAATGCGCGAACGCCCAGAAATTGTCGAGCTTGCTCCTCTAGCTTGTTGGGGTCGGTTGTTACGCCGGGCAGGATGCTCATTAAGGCACCCTTGCCGTAGATTTCCGTTTGGTAGCTGCCGTAGTTATCAGACATTGCAAATCGTTGCAATCGATAGTTGGAAGGTTAGAGAATCCAAGTCCAAAGCTGGGGGGAAAGCAATGCCCCTGGTAATGCGGAGGAGAATTGAACCGAGGTTACATAGCTTCATGTTAGCTTCATGCGTTGCGCCCGTTTTATGAAGTCATCCTCCTTCCATAATGCGTGGAAAGTCAAGTGAATTATAGCTTTTGAGTCATCTATACTTTACCCAATAGCATAACTACTCCGAGCTCTAAGTCGCTCACCATACCTCCAGAGAACAACAGGCACCGGACATCCCATAATAATAGCAACAAGAGCAAGCATAGTAGAACCCCACCCATAACCCAACGACTGATACATCCTCGGTCCGAAAAGAGGAAATCCAAACCCCGTCAATCCACGAAGAATGTAAACAGCACCCGTCGCACTAGCCGCATACAAAGTAAAAGCTTCATACAGATATGCACTGGTACATTGGAACAGAATCATCGCAGCGCAGGCAAACAGCCCGATTCCAAGATCAGGCACAATCCAATGCGTGACCGCCTGCGCTCCCCATCCGTACCACAGCAGGCCGACCGGGGCGAGAATCGAGGCGGGGAACATGAGAACTGCTCTGAATTCTGGTTTGCCATTTCCGCCATGCTTCTTCTTCAGGGCTCTGTAGATTGGGTCCGCGAGAAATCCGCATATCTGTGAACCAAGAAAATATCCGATTCCCAGCGCGAGGTAGTTCAGACTAGCTGGACCGACGGGCTGGTGGTATTTCTCTTCCCAGAGAGTTGTGAAGGTCGAGAGTACCAGGTACATTAGACCGTATAGATAGGCGTAGAAGATGGCTAGGATCTGGACGATGGGCTGGACTCTGAGGAGCTGCAGGGGTCGGAGAAGAGAGTTGCGGTATAACTGGCCGAGACTCTGGTCTGGTTTCTCATAAGGTGTCTTCAATAGAGGAGTGTTTGTCACGGCCGTTTTCAGCATCTTCGCCTTTCTCCTCGCGAGGATGACAGGTGGATATGTCTCCTCCATAACAAGCAAACCAACCACGATCAAAGCCCCGTCGAAGATAGATGTCGCCCAGAACGTCCAGCGCCATGTCGTGTATTGAGTAGTAAATCCACCAATGACAGCTCCCAGAGAAGGTCCAAAGACAGGCCCGAGATTGTAGATGGCAATGACCCAGCCGCGCTCTTCTTTGGAAAAGCAGTCACTGATGATACCCGCGCCCACCTATATTTGGCGCATTAGAACAAAATCTAGTCGCAGAAGAGGGGGCATACTCACAACAAGTCCACCCGCGCCTCCAACGCCACTGAGCAGACGAGAAGCGAGTAGTTCGCCTTTATTCCGAGCGAACCCACACACCAGGTTGAAGATTAGGTAGAATGAATTTCCCGAGTGCAAGACTGTGGCTCTTCCAAATATCTCGCTCAATGGGCCTAGTATCAAAGGGCCGAGACAGTAGGTCAGGACGAAGCTCGAGAGGACCAGGACTGCTTCTAGTGAGCTGCTCATGTGCAGTTCGCCTTTGATGGTGCTCAACTCGGGTGCGACAATTGACGAAGACAGTGGCATTAGAAACACTGAAAGAGACACAACAATTGTCATAATCCATTTCTTTGATCTGGGCCAGTTCAGTGGGTTTCCGGGGTCGTCCTCCTCAAAATCAATGGTCAAGGACTGGTGAGTTTCTTGTATCTCAGCCTTCTCCTGGAAGGCATTTTCCGTGATTGCGCGTTTATTGATTTCATCGTAGACTTGGTGAGGATTGTCATTTGAAATTGATGGGCCCATGGTTTCAGTCCAAGTAAAGATATGTACTGCAAGATACAAGTGTTGAAGGGCACATTCCATCGAATTGAGCCAGAAATTTCGATGGAAATCAGCAGATTACTAGGCCAAAAAGCATTCGCGATTGGGATAGTAGCAACACATGCTGTCCCATTGACTCCTGGAAAATATTCCGAGTGAGTCATATCAATGCAGACACTGGGAACAGGTAGGGATCTGCGGAACACCCAACAACTTTGCGTATCTGCCATTTTGCATAAGTAGACTTGTGGACTTGAAAACCTGATGTAGTGTTCTTGAGCAGAGTGGAAGACCTTGGTTGCCTCTAGCGACTTCGACCCAACTGTTCAAACGAGGTAAAGGAGACGGGTTTTGGTTCCGGCTTTTCATCACTTAAGAATAAGTTGATTGCTATTCGCAAGAAATTGCATGCGAGCTGAAGAATCAAGAACATTGGTGGGTATCTCAGATAAAAAGAAATAAACACAAAGCGCGCATCAACGAGAAGGATCTTCCCTCCACGACAGAAAATCACGCCGAAATCCAAATCTTGATAGTCATGTCATCAGACGTGTAAGCTACTACGTTTTCATCGCGCGACAAAGTAATAGCTCGAACCCATCCGGAATAGCCCGTTAATATTCGGACGCAGGCAAACCCTAATGGTACAGCCCATACGCGGATTGTCAGGTCGTCGGCCGCTGATGCCACCAGGTTCCCATCGCTAGAAAATGCGATCACGCGCAGAGGTCCAGAGTGTCCCCGGAGGACGTTGAGCATGGCGCCAGAATTCGTATCCCAGATGCGCAGGTCCTTGTCCTGCGAACCCGACGCTAGCAGCTTCCCATCAGGAGAGAAGCAGACGGCCCTGATTGAGGATTCATGGCCATTTAATCGATGGATTTCTTTGCCGGTGGTTGTGTCCCAGAGACGAATTGTATTATCGTCCGAGGTTGAAGCGACAGTCTTGCCGTCAGGCGAAAAGGCCACAGCGCGCACCCAGCCCGAGTGCCCATTGAGGGTTTTGACCAGCGAACCTGAGCTTGCATTCCACAGTCGCACAGTGAAATCATCTGAGGCTGAAGCGAGAGTTTTTCCATCGGGGGAAAATTCCACCGCTCGAACTTTGCCAGTGTGACCCTGCAGCATGCGGTAGGTAAACCCGGTGTTCACGTCGCTGATACGAATGGTCATATCATCGGAAGCAGTGGCTAAGAATCGACCTGCGGGGGAAAATCTCACAGAGCGCACCCACGTGGAATGGCCGTTGTTTCTTGCGGCGCCGCGCTGGAGACCCGTGTTGGCGTTCCATAGACGGATCATCATGTCATTGGAAATTGAGGCGAGGATTTGACCATTGCCGGAAAGAGCCACATCCCAAACGAAGCCAGTATGGCCATCAAGAGTTTTGGATGCAACTAGCCTCCCAAAGGAAGGAATGACTAAGTCCGCCATTGGTCCACTTGAAGCGGTACTTTTTGATTTTGATGGATTTTGATTGTTCGAGACCCAGGATGCCGTTATTCTAGATCTCCCTATGGTGGAGAAAGAAAAACAAACCTTCAAATAGCAAGATTCAGAAGTTGATTGTGAAGTTCTGTAAAACGCGTGGACGTGAAGGATTTCTCATAGTGAGAAGTGAAGTCATAAGAGATTGTGTGTCCGTCAGCAGTGCATTGCGGGGGGAACAGAATCGCAGGGGGAAAAAGTCCCGTTCATGGCAGATATCAATCCAAATTGAATATGGTGCAGAAGGAATCAGAAAGTGATAGTTCCTCTTTCTGCAGCATATAATAGCCACAAATAGGCAAAAAAGACAGCGGGATTTGCCATTAGGTAAGCAGGCTAGGCCGGTCGATCCTGATCTGCTGACCTTCATATTTTGCTGTCTAGGGTACATGTAGACTTTGATACTTCTAAGAAGAGGCACACTAACAGGTAGGTACTCCGAGTTGTTAACGTAATTCCCGGCCGACCCGATCACCCAACCCTATTAGAATATTCAAAATAGGGCATGTCAACCAAAACGTCTTTAATTGTATATAGGCGATATACTCAAAATATGATCATACAAAACTTAGTGTCTTCTCCTCGTTATAAGGAGCAGCCACAAAAGTACTTCAAAGCCTCGGCACCCCATGCTGCCAGACGAGGAATTTTTGCATTATATTATGAGAGCTACAGTATCATGATTTTGGTTTCACTTTTGGTAGGTATGTTATTAGTTCCATAAGCCAAGCATAGTAGCAAGATAGTAAGATAGTAAGATAGTAAGATAGTAAGATAGTAAGATAGTAAGATAGCAAGGTAGCAAAGAAATGTTGCGACTCCCGCTATATCTATTGTATAGGAAAAGTGAGTCTCGTATCCCTACGATAGCTCCTTCCTGGCGAGTAAGCTTCCCTCCTTCTTTATAAAGCCGAGCACAAAGTTAAGGATCATATCCAAGCGGGAGCGTATATATGCCTCGTTTCGGGTGGACTTTCCTTAGGCAACGTCCAGGTATTCAAAGGATTTCACTGTTTTCATAGATGAGTGAGTGAAACTTGGAAATCATAAGGACAGGGTACTTACTGAGGAAACCGTAGAATTCGTCAAAGGCAGCTGGGATTTGGAACTCCTCTCGGAGAATGGGTCGTAAGTCCCACTCATCTCCCAGCTCCTCATTCTCCGATGAAAGCGGCTGGATCTCAAAGATACTCTCGACCTCCTCCAGGTTTAAATCACCCAGAGCCTTCGAGGGAATTTTCTGTTCCGCTTGGAGTTTCAGGTCGTCAAATTTGGCCTTCAGTTAGAATGAACAATCATACCTTCAACGGGCTGTAAAACGCCCTCCTCAAAGAGATCATGCGGCACAGTCCTGATTTTGTCCGTGGTGAGTTCGACAGGCCCAACGACTTCTAGAAGATCTTCGAGGACAAGAGACCCAGGGGGAAGGTCCGGGTGCTTCTCAGCCACTCGCATAAGATCTCTTTGAGCGGTGAGATATATGTAGAAGGTTAGATTCTCTACAACGATCGAGATCTAGCTATATAGCTAGGTGAAGCCTGACAAACCAGACATCAGCATGTGATCGGCACGTGACCACCACAACAATTTACTACAGCTAGATACATGTCCTATGGTTGCTCTAAGTCCTATTAATAGATCTAATAGGGCTTGCCATATCGGACTTGACTCGTATTGGCAATATCACGCTCTCATGCATCCATGTTAGGCCTCAGGCGCCTTATATATTGCGTCATCATATCCGAATCCCGAGGTAGTCAACGAACTAGGAAGTTATATACTCAGGACTACCTACCCAGGACTACGCAGGTACATTGATAATTGGTTTAATATCTACATTTTAAATTATGATGCGACTTGCAAACAAAATCAGAAAAAATAAGAAAAAATATAACACAGTTACATACTCCGTAGGTTTCTCTTATCAATCGGCTGCAAGGGTTATCCGACCTCTTGGCGCTTGGCAACTTTGATTCTTTCTCGCTTTCGGCCTGACATTTTCTTAACCTTGGAACATAATTGAAGTGACCTCGGGGGAAACACCTAGGCCCAGGGGCCGAGTCCATTCCACTATCATTGTTTCTACCTGATCTTTCGCACCATGGGCCATGCTGAGCCTGACCTCGGCTCAGCCGATGAAATCAGCTTAGGGCCAACTCTTGATGAAGAACAGATCGAGAAAACTCTGATCAGGAAGATTGACCTGCATATCCTTCCTATCGTGGTGTTGCTGTACCTCTTCAGTTTCCTAGACCGAGGTACGTGGGGGTGGGATGCCTGACTCATCCCTTTGTGATTGCAACTGGCTTGTGCCAACTCGGAATCAAGAACATTGGCTGACTTGAATATGCAGTCAACATTGGAAATGCACGATTGTATGGCCTGGAAGAGGACTTGGGGCTTGTTGGCAACCAGTACCAAGTCTCGGTGTCTATCCTTTTTGTGACCTACTGTGTATGTATATCACGCAATTCAGTCACCGCATGGACGCTAACCCTCACGTTCAGTTCTTTGAGGTCCCTTCAAATCTCGTACTCAAGAAACTACGGCCGTCTCGGTATATTGCCACAATCTCAGTTTTGTGGGGTATCATTGCAACCCTCACAGGAATCACTCAGGATTATGGTGACTTGGTTGCCTGTCGAATCCTACTCGGAGTCGTAGAAGCAGGTCTTTTCCCAGGCTTTATCACCTACCTCACTCTCTTCTATAGCAAACGTGAGATTGCCTTGCGAACAAGCTACCTCTTTAGCAGTGCAGCTATTGCGGGAGCCTTTGGCGGGTTACTGGCTTATGGTATTGGGTTTATGGACGGCATCTGTGGACTTCGCGGCTGGCGTTGGATCATGATCATCGAGGGGATTCCGACAGTTTTACTTGGTGTGGTGACTTGGTTCGCCTTGGCAGATGACCCGGACACAGCTTATTATCTAAACAAAGAGGATCGAGCGCTTGTTACCCTTCGCCGGAGTCGTTATATCGGCCAAACAGAGTCTGCACAGAAGTTTCACTGGGCGGATGTAAAAGAGGGTGTCTTAGACTGGAAGATCTGGGCGTTCTCCATTGGCCAGTTTGGTATTGATACCATGCTCTATGGATATAGTACCTTCCTTCCTACTATTATCAAAGGCATGGGAAATTGGACCACGGCCGAGGTCCAGGCATTGACAATCCCTTGCTATGCACTGGGTGCCCTTGCCTATCTGTGCGTTGCCTGGTTGAGCGATCGCACCCAACACCGTGCATTTTTCATATGTCTCTTCTGCGCTATCTCAGTCGTTGGCTATGGAATCTTGATTTCGGACTCGTCCTCGGGTGTTCATTACTTTGGTGCCTTGATGGTCGCCCTGGGACTTTACGTTGCTGTCGGCTTACCTCTCGCCTGGTTGCCTACCAATCTGCCCCGATACGCAAAACGCACCTACGCAACTGGCTTGCAGCTTACCTTTGGCAACATCAGCGGAGTTATGTCCCCTTTCTTGTATCCTAATTCGGAAGGCCCGCGCTTCGTCCGTGGGAACGCTGTCACTCTGGCCATGGTGGGATTTGCGGGGGTTGTATATGGTGTCATGTGGGTTTCCTATCGGGTTATCAACAAACGCAGGGCCCAGGGATTGGAGGACGACAAAATATCATCGCTCTCGGAGCAGGCTATCCGGGAAATGGGCGATCGAAACCCCAGGTTCTTGTACAGCATTTAAATCTACGCTGAGCTATGTCCTTGTTTGTGACCGAATTTTTTCTTTCACATGATGTCCTATGAATACAGCGGGGTACAAAAATCATCGGGAGGTCGATGTATACAAGGTCCGATAATATATCAGATCCAAGGAACTGTATATCACAACGCCGCATACAACCTGCACCGAACAACACGTTTGGAACTCATACCAAGCACGGGAGGGAATGCAGAAACACATGTAGTTTAAACAAACAACTGGAAAATGATCCATTTCATATTCGCTTGAGGATCCCCATGGGCAATGCACAAGAGCCCATGCCGCGTCGAGAAGCTGGTAGGCTTCAGCTCGTATTCACCTTTTTACTGGATCATGGAGCGAACCCGAATAGTCAGATGCCACTCTATCTAGCAGTTAGGGACAAGAATTACGCAGTGTTTGAGCGTCTTATTAGGGTCATTATGGCCGGACTCCCGCTGACTAGGCTCTTAGTTTCGGTGGTCACGGGATAAAGGTGCCAGTACTGGCCCTATGACTTGGAGGGAGGGGGGCTACAGTCTTGCAAACTCTGGAGCATATCAAAGCGCTATGGATCCAGCGCGGGAATTGGACGGGGAAGGAAGCATGGCTGCTTTATCTTGCAAGTTATCTGAAGAATCAGATGGCGAATCCTCGGAAGACCGAGAGCAGTCTTGAAGTATGGGCCAGGATCAATCTTCCAGAAAACCTTGAGTGTGGTATATTATAGCCTCAGAAGCAACTTATTGAATGTCAAGATTCTGATATTATAATATAGAAGATATTCTGGTGGCCAAATTCCCAGGCGCTTGCCAAATGTACTAGGTTTCGGTAGGAGCATATGAGGAGCATTGTACTCGGAAATATGTATGCTTTTAGACTCAATCTAGGATCTCAAATGTCTAGGCGAATGGGGTGGATGGTGAGGCGACGGAGGATGAAAGTCGAGCAGTCCGAGGCCCTTCGACTTTATATGCATATAAAGTGAAGGTTACGCGGCGTATTGCCAAACTAAACATCGCCAAACTCACGGAAAAAGAAATGCACTGGCCGTTTTACAACATAGAGTATGGGGTAGTTACTCTATGCAGAAAATACCGTTGACAGAAAGACACTTGAGCGCGAAATCTCCCCCTTTTGCCGCTGTGACCACAATGCCAAGACGACCATTCAAGCTTAAAATCCACAAACATGACCGTGTAGGTATTAGCGGCTGTTTCAAAACCAAGGATATCGCGATCTTAATAAAACACCTATCTGTCTGATATAGTGCAATCCAATGCACACTATTGTCTCTATAACAAGACCCTTTTACTCCAACTTGCTGTGATATATTCTATTTATATATCTTCTTCCAATATCTTGTATAAACCATGGCAACTTTGACTCAATCTCCAGCCCCAGTGCCTACGGGATCTGATATCCCAACGTATAGCCAGGTCCCAGAGACTGCTTTCGATCGTAAGTGGTTCACCGGAAAATCCAGAAGTCAAAGTACCCGTCCTATTATGCCAATGGTGACAGAGAGGAATTTGGATATCTCTGTTATTTTCTAACTTATTATAGTGTAGCGATTAAACGAATAACCCCTTCTAGGCATATAGTATCGTATATCAAAAAGCGGCTTCAGAATGTACTTTTCAAACTGTTCTTTTAGTGGATTCTCCGTTTGGCAACTGATTATCCCAGAAAGGCATACAAAAAGACATATAGAAAGACACATAGAAAGAACATCCAAAAATGCAGAGAGTTTTCTTACATATAACACTCGCAGTATCATCTTAGACCAAATAGTTCAGAGTCTACAGAAATCCCACTATCAGCATCGCGTACATAAGTAAAGGACTCGGTACAAAGTCGAGCACCATAGTTACGGAGTACAGATTATTAAGACCAATATGCAGACCCAAGGAGAGAGGCCTGAGCGCCCAGGGAGAACCCTTGCACTGGCTCTCTACAAAGGGGGACTTAACCTCTGACTATTATGAGGATTCCAGAGAAACCTATGTCTTCTTCCCGGGTTGGTGTCCAGACATGACCAATCGGCATTCCACAGCTGGTACTTAAAGTGATTCAATAGAGTAAGAATCAAAGCAACCGCTAACTTGGATAAATCAATAAATTAACTATAGATGGAGTCTTGGCGATTAAACTCTAGGAAGAGTAACGCGCAACGCCCGTGGAGATAAGCTCGTCGCAGTCCCGTCATAATCTAGAGCGAACTCGAAACTCTGGAAGGCCCACGTTGCCATCATCCACGAAAAGCAGGAGCCAACAAAAGGCCCAGCATCTTCCGACATAGGAAGTGCATAAATAACAGTCAGGAAGGAGATCCGCCCCGGGGTGTCAAGACCGCTGGGCTGTAGACGAATACTTATCGCAGAGCGATCGGTCACCCCCCTTGCAAGGCCATCAAAGATTCGATCATGTCGACCGAGTTGCTGATCCATGCTGAGACTACCAAACCAGGCCCGTCATCAGCCGTGATGGTGATTGAGGAATTTGAGGAGCCGCTCGTACAATATATCAAAATAGAAACTACCAGGGCCATTTAAATGGTTGTCGATCTCGGCCCACCTGTGAGGAAATCCATGGACCAAGAGATACTATCGCCACTGGAAATACGTTACCCGATAAGCTTCAGGGTCTCTCCTTTTTTTTCATTGGAAAATATACCGTGCGAATTGCGGAGCATCCCTGGGTGACACGAGTACATAACAGGGGGAATAATAGGTTAGGTACGGGCTGAAACTCCACCCAGATATCACATACAATATACTCCGTACCAGCGCCCATCATTATGGTACACAAGTCGTAACGTCGTCAGGAAGGACGCGTGTCTGTGGGGGGCGTTGGCCTCATTTGCCCCTCCGGCTAATTTTGACTGGTTGACGCGGCTGGGGGGTGCTAGGGCGATCGTCTCTGGATCATTTCCCTGGCTCTTTTTTGCCTCTAATATGGATGACAATTGTGTATACCTGTCCTTTCCGTTATTTGATACTGGGGTCAATGTAGTTCGTAGTTAGCACACTTTCCAAGACTCCGGACTTTACTTCAATGGTCCAAGCGCTAACTTGATAACAGTGACGTGATTTCTAGTTCAATGTGGTTATTTATTATGTTCACATCATCATGATGGGGTCTCAGGATGGGAACGGATGTCGTACCTAGGTAGTCGCTTATATTGTCCATTGCTGGATGATTGAGGGTCAGGCGCAGTCAGTGAGGTGCAATGTGCCGACGAATTCGGATCCATAGTGTATCTATACATAGTAGTATCTATATGCAGATACATACAAGTACTCACTATTCCGTGCAACATACAGATACATATAGAGACGCTAGGGAGAGAGCAATCGGAGTTATTAGTAGAGATGAGTTTCTGGTCTATCGTACAAATTTATGTATGATGCCACAAACAGCTGATCGGCACCTTCGCGCGAGCTTGCATCCTCGCCGCAAACAGCCTGCTCAAAGTTGAAGATACTTGAAACATGCTTGTTCTGGAATGCCAAGGTCAATATGCCCATTTCCGACTTGAAGGACTACATCTGTGCCCAGGTTAGACAAAAATATTATTGTTGTGCTCGAGACAGGGGAAAAATATGTAAAAAAAACCCAGTGCTGATCACCGGTTTCATGGCGGCGTATTCCACTGAAGCTGCTGGGAGGGAGATGATCCCTCCCAGCCAACAGCATTCTTTTTTCCGTCGTGATCGACACTTAGGTTCAACCGGCAAAACGAAGCAAAGGAAACAAAGTATAAGCCACATATCATTTATGATGTTATCGCAGGGCTCCGTTCCTGCATCCCAACCGGGCACAACCGCAACCGGGCGATGAATACCAAGATATCAATATCCAGCTCCAATATAATCAAATATCACTGAAGACAGCATATTAAACGAAAAATGGCAGACGGCGCGAACGTCAGATATGTAGACATGTACATCGATGTAGAAAACGGATTGAAAAAAGAAGTGAAAAAAGAAAAGATCTAAATAATATATTACGGTAATACCCATACACGGCCAACCTGTCCCCGTTAATTGCTTCGGCGGCCTCCCTTTTTCTTTCCTCCTACAACAACTTCACGACTCAATCCTACATCCTCTCATCGACTTTTCACTCGGACTGGGCACATCGTCCAGCCGCGTTAGTCTTGCTTTTCTATTCTCTTCCAGTCCTCCTACTTCCCTTTACAAACGCCCCTCCCCCCTTTGGACCGTGTCGCAGGTCCCGACGCTGCCAGCCTCTCGTTGAAATATCTCGGCACTTTATTTGCCTGCCACTCTTTAATCCGCTCTGGGGACACTCGTTTCTTTGACCCTTCCCTCAAGTGGAAACTGCGTTTTGCTACCAGCTTTTTCTGCACGATATTTCCGGGATACGACATCTCGCACGCCCGAACCCATAACTTTTAATTACAGGGTTCATCTGCCCCGATTTCGCTTTTGCCTTGCCTGCTTCTATTTACATGTTTGAAAAGTCGTCATTTAATACTGGAAGAGCCAAAATGCCTCTATTTCGGATGAAGACGGTATTCCCGTTGGTGGCTCTGGTGACCATCGGAATATTTTTCTTTTGCATGGAACGCTACGACCGCTCAGCTTTCCTTCGGTTCAAGCACCCAATTGACCGTGCCTCCTTCAGTGGAAACAAGCAACCTCAAGTACAAACGTCGGCACAATCTGATTCGCAGCAGCCTGCCAGCAACACCTGTGAGGCTGACCCGAAATTGGCTGCCCCCCTTCCCTTCCCCGAATGGCTCCCACGCAAAAACTACACTCGCGCCTATTTCCGTCCTCGTCATGTGAACCCTCGCACCGAGTTCCACACTTTGGAGGAAATCGAGAAGCCTGTACTCCCGCCTATGGTTGTCATGGAGCGCGGTATGGTCGTGTCTCCCGAGAACAAGCCGGAGAACTTTGTCTGCCCTGAGATCATCGAAGTCGATGTAGCCGCCGATGACGATGTCGAGGAAACCTCCAAGCTTCTTTTCGGTCTGGCCACTACAGTCGACCGTTTGGACCGCCTGCTACCCTCTTTGCTTTACTCATACGGAAATACCAAGGCCGGTCTGATTGTTCTGGTCCCTGAGTCTGACGACGACCTGGAGAAGCAAGAGACCTACTTCCGCAACCGCGGTCTGGACTTGACCCTCAAGGCCTCTCCTCTCGACTTCACTGCCCGTTACTTCGGTATGGTCGAGGCGTTCACCGAGCACATTCGCAAGCACCGCCCGCACACCGCCTGGGTTGGGTTCAGTGACGACGATACCTTCTTCCTGTCGCTCCCCACTATCGCCGAGGAATTGAAGCTCTTTGATGAAAGCAAGAAGCACTACATTGGATCTTTGTCTGAGGCCAGCTGGCAGGTGGATACTTTCGGCCACATTGCATTCGGTGGTGCTGGTGTGTTTGTCTCGAAGCCTCTTTTGGATGTCCTGATGAAGCACTACGAGGAGTGCCAGTCCTGGGGCGAGCAGCCCGGTGACCAGAAGCTTGGCCAGTGTATCCAACGGTTCGGTGACACCCCCCTGACTCTGTGGCCTTCGCTCTACCAGATGGACATGGCAGACCCCGTGGACGGTGTTTACGAGTCAGGCCGCAAGATCGAATCAATGCACCACTGGAACAGTTGGTACAGCAAGGACGTGGTCAAGATGACCACCGTTTCTGCTGCTGCAGGCCGCAAATCTGTTCTCCGTCGCTGGGTATTTGACCAGGAGGAGTCTGTGAGCGCTACTGGTGAGACTCTCCGTCACTTCTGGGTTATGACCAACGGCTACTCGCTGGTGAAGTATACGTACGGCGAGAATGTGGCGGATGATGCTATCAACTTCGATGCTACCGAAAAGACCTGGCCAGAAGACCCCCGCGGTTATGAAGACCGCCTGGGTCCCCTGCGTCCCGCAGAGGAAGATGGCGTTGCTAAGGATCGGTGGTTGCTTCGTGATGCATTCGTTGTCGGTGAGAACGTGCACCAATTCTATGTTCGCGAAGAAGATGAGGGCCACAGCGTGATTGAGATTGTCTGGCTCGGTCCCAAGGGCGGTGGTGGCGGCGGTGTGAGTGACCATCATCTTCGCGGCACTTACCAGCAATAAAAATGCACCGTTACTACTTGAGGCTGGTCCTTGGGACTGTTGGTCGTACTTCTTCACTTCGTTGCACATGATTCTGCTCTTTTTCTTATTTTCTCAAATACTACACATCTTCCTTTTTTTGTTCTTCCCGACTTCACGACACCAGCCCAATATGATTGCAAAATCGACCAACCCAACAGCCATTTTCTTTCCGGATGAGACTCGTGATCGTGACTTGCCCTCCGCGTCCTCCAGTTTCTGTTTCATTTATCCGGCGTTGCATTGGCGGAGTCCAGTACGGTGCAGGAACCTGGTGACTTTGTGTTCCCTCTATATCCCGACGGTGTATTCCAATTTTTGAAATGTTATGTGGCTTTCCTTTACGGTCTTCCTATCCCTAGGCCCATGCGGGCCTTGGCCGAGGCTTACCACACTTAATCGGCTTGGTCTTGCTTTTATCTTTCCTTATTTCCTATTTCCTCCATGTCTTCCGGCCTCAAGTGCGCTTTTGGGAGAAGCCACTTTTTGTGCCCTATGCCTTGCATCCTTTTTGTAAAAATAGACTTGACAGCAGACCCGGTTTGGGGTCTCCGTTGGTGATTAGCGTTGGACCTTTGTTCATTATGTGAAGAATATGATCAGTTTTCGTCATTCCAATGTTGTCCAAGGTATTTTTTTGGTATGCAGGAAGTAACCTTGAAGCGACCGAGCTAGACTCCGCTGCATCGGGTCTAGGGCTTCTCGGATCGGCCCGTTGATCGGCTCTGGTTGCTTATTGTTGCTAGTTATACGGATTCAATGGGATGACCAACAGTCGACAGCGGTCGACCTTCACTCTCGAGGCTGACGATATGACCAAGAAACCTGCCATTCGGTAAGGCCGCGTGGTAGCCACCTGGGCAGGTTCGAGGTGGGGGTTATGTTAAGACTTGATGCTTAGAGCAATATCAAACCAGATCAACTGATGAGAAGAAATTGCAGATATTGTAGATCTGTATTCCGTCGATGTGGGAGTAATAACAAGAGTAAGAATAGAAGAGGCAGAAACCAACCCTGACTGGATTACTGACTTTTGTTATAAGGCCTACTGACCAAGCCACCCCGATTGTCGTGTACCTTGGCAAATCTACGTCCGTGAGACCCCAACATAGTATCCCTAGGGGCTCTACGAGTTTCTATGTAAGGTATGCATGTGTGTGCAAGGGGATCTGAAATGCCTGGGATTATTGTGTCGAGACCGTGGCCTAGTACTCTCCGTACTCTGGTGCCCTGATGAATGTGAGGTCGGTTCTTGTGGTTGCAATCAGAAAGGGGATGAGAATGGCTATAAGAGAGATAAGAGAGTGGTGACAGGGATGGATGCGCTTTGGGGCTATTTACGATGTACTCTGAATGCAGCTATGCGAGTACGTTGTATACAGGGCCATTATTCCGTGCCACAAAGCAGGTGCGACCCGCGCTTGTGTGATGCGAGCACAGATTTATACTTATTCGACTTTGTAGATGTAACCTCGAAATAGGACCATAGCGTCTTGATAGAAATGCTCATATGGCATGTTTAAAGGCCAATCACATAGCACCGGATCTTGAGAAGTTCTGCCCCGTCGCGGCATGTGAAATGGAATGAAGTACTAAAGTACGAAAGAAACATATCTCTTTTAATTCTTAATTCTCAATATTTTGTATTTCTTACCGTCGATTCCAAGTCCAAAAGGGCCCAATAACCAAAATTAGGGCCGTCCGGGAAATCAGCAACAAAGGAAAAAAAGTCCAGACCAGAGGGGAAAAGGGCAAAAAATGGAAAACGGGGGGGGGCCGAAGGGAAATCAGCCAATAAGCGATCAGAGCTAAGAATCGTGTCTGGCCTGAAGGAGGCGAATACCGCTCAATTACAAGGCAATACAAACGTAATCGTCGCGGTACTTCTGCCTCATAGAAACTTTGCCAGTACCAGAAGTACTCTAACCTATCTGACCGTACAGATTGTACTCATACCAACCGTACACGTGATCCACGTAACAGACCGCCTGCCCATCGCAACTCGCACTTTGCCTTCTTCGCTCTCCCCCCCCCCCATCGATTCCCCCATTCCCTTTCTCTCACATCCTATAAACGCGTTACTCGATTGGGTCATCTCTTGCCTTCCCCTTTCGGTATCCCCCCCTCAAATCATAACCACCCCCCCATATTAAATCGCTTTTGTTCGTCTTTATTGCCAATATGTCTGCGGTTCTTGATGAAAAGCTTTCCCCTGGTCACGATGACCTTCCCGGCAACGGCGCCGACGCCCGTGGCACCAAGCGCAACCGCATGAGCGCCGATGATGAAGATGATGATGATGACAAGCCCGGTCGTGAGCGCCGCAAGATCGAGATCAAGTTTATTCAGGATAAGTCGCGTCGGCACATTACTTTCTCCAAGCGGAAGGCCGGTATCATGAAG